AGGTAGTTCAAAACCAGGTAATGATTTGGTAATTTTTACTGTCCCATTCCTCAAGTCGGTCTTCATATATAGTAGTAGCAGTGGAAACAGTGGTTTCAGCAGTGTCTTTCACTGGTTGGGTCACATCCCTGGTGATAATTCGCCAGAGCTTCTTTCCTTTGAGGAAGGAAGACATGGCTTGGGCCCATAGAACATAGTTGGAACCATTCAACATAACGGAAATGGGATGGGAGGCATCATGACGATCCATAATAAAGGTTGAATAGGGCTAAAGCAATAGGAATAGATCTGTAGGAGCAAAATTAGGTAAAACAGAGTGTACCAGTGAGTCCGGAAGGTCGAAAATAGCAAGGAAAGATATGCTGTGCAAAGATGATGTCAACAATGATGTCAGCGGCGCACGGTAGCGGACTGGCGCAGGCGCGACGCACGGTAGCTGTTTTGGCGCACGCGGCTGTACACTAGTGAAGCGGCGCACGAGAGGCGTACAGTAGCAGGTGCGGCGCACGGGAGCGGCAGGGCTGACGTCAGCTGCGGACGTGTGGGCACATATGAGTGCGTGGCGGATGTGAGCAGCAACAGATGGCGCGTGTAGGCGCGTGTGAGAGTGGTGGCGGAAGTGGTGACGCGCCGAGGACAAAGGCGGCGCGTGTGGGCGCATGGAAGGGTTTCTGAGGATGGGCATGGTGCCGTTGGAATCGTGAGAAAATTCCGAGCGGTTTGATGTAGTGCCACTGTGTATTGGACTAAACACCAAAATTGTAAATTGCCAGAAATGTAACACTGGGCTCTGATACCATGAAACAATAGTTTGAGAGAGTGAGAGAGAGAGAGAGAGCAACTAAATAGCTCTGTATTAATCTGTAATGTTGTGTGTGTTTACAAAGAGCATGAGCTCTCTTTATAGAGAGAAGAGGGATACAATGGAGCACCGAAAGCATAAAGGTTACATTAAACAATATAAGCACTAATGCGAAAGCTGAAAGTGTGGTAGTGGGTGTTTGCCTTTACAGATAATTTACAGCTACACTGTACTATCTAATATCTAATGTATATGATATATTAACATCCTGGATTGACACATTTGAAGCTCCGTAACTGCATATGTAAACTGCCAGAGGCGTTTGTTGCGTTTTGTAACCTAATTAGCCTTCACTTCGAGAAAATGGCATTTGCTGCCCATATATTTGGAACTCTTGTCCCTTGTGTGCCATTGCTCGAGACTTTGAACTTTTCAGGCTGCACTGCCATTGAACATTTTAATATCCATTTCCCAAAACTCAAAACCTTTGTTGCCACTGACAGTTGCAATGTTGAATCAATCTCTTTCCAAAGTACCCCAAACCTGACCATGATCTGTATTGCATTGGGGACAGAAGCTGAAAACCCTGGGCGACGCAGTACAATCAATTTGAAAAAGTTTCTTGATAATTTGCCTAGAGTTTTGAAGATTTGTTTTGATGGATTTTTCCTTAAGGTGAGTATAGGTCTATACATTATATGGAAATTTGTAGGTTGTGTCTTATTTTCTTGCTATTTGCTTCAAAGCTTTTGGCTGCAGGTTCTTTTGTTGTTCCATGGGTGCTTTCTATTCCTTTTAACCAACTGAAGCACCCTGTGTTTACTAAATTAAGATTTGATGATGTGGATCAGATGTCATGTGTTCTTTGTTTGCTCAGAAGCTCTCCTAACTTGAAGAAACTCTGCATGACGATGAGATTGTTGACACAAACAAGATAAGAGTAATTTTTTTTTTTAATTTAAAAATTAAAAGAGTTACTTCGCAATTATCATCTTTTACAGGCCTCTGCGGTCGGGGACAATGCTGTAGAACCGGTTCCAAGATACTTGGAAGCACTAGGCTGCATGTACCAGCTGTTGAACCAACTTCGAACTGTAAAGATAACTTCCATCAAGGGTTTGAGGACTGAATTGCTTTTCATCAAATGCATACTTGCATGTTCTCCAGTTCTTGAGACGATATGTGTTCAGTACCATGAAATAGTTGATGCACATGAGGGGTTTAGAATCTCAACAGAGATGATGCGGTTTAGTTGGGCATCACCAAGGGCAGAAATAGTATATGTGAAACCCTAAGGTAATTTAGGCCAAGTTTGGCATCCTCCAAAAAATTCAAAAAGTCAAAAAGTCACTATCCTATTTAAGTCACATCATCTTATTTAAGTCACATCACCTCTCTAACACATCATTTCAAACCCAACCCAAATCCAACCCATCTTTCATAAAAAGTCAAAAAGTACACTTATTTAGTCTTTCCAAACTTGGCCTTAGTCCTGTTTCTTGACTCCTATTCACATTGACCCTGTCCCTTATCCTTTTGCATCCTTTCACTAGTAAGGGGTCTTCTATTTTCTATGAATCATATGTATATTTTATGGGAATATAATTTTACTTGAATATGTAATATATTGTTTTGTGTTGGTCTCCTCTTCCGTAACTTGTACATTAGAATATGTGTATATCCATAAATCTAGTTGGCTACTCTGGTATAGTTCTCTACTCTTGATTACAAGGCTTGAGTTGTGCTATTGTCTTGCTTACCTTAACAGAGAAAATAGTGCCGTATAAAGGTCTACTGCAAGTTTAGTTTTCAAATTCAATGAAATACGTAAGAGAAAATGAGGCAGACAAAGATGAGATAAATCTTTGGAATGCATGCTTACAGCACTGGTTTAGTGAATACTTGTTTGGTTCTCAATATTATGTCTCATTGTACAGTGTTGTGGAAAACATTATGGAACCCATTTGCAAATTTACTTTGTGTAGCTCTTTTATCAATTCATAGGTGGTTGAATGCTGGAGGAAAAGGAAAATGTCTCACCTTTTTGTTGGATAAAATAGTACTAAACTATCTAGAAAATATAATTTAAAATTATGCAAACGATTTTTGGGCAAAACCAAAAAAAACTGAAATAAATCGACATAATAACGTGATAAAACTTACAGCACATAAACAAATAAAACCTGATCGAGTCGAGTGTGTGACACTCTCTACTTAAGACAGATTCGTCCTCCTACCGGTGCTTAGGATTCAATGGACGTCTACCTCCCAGGATACAACGATCAATGTCTTACACTAGCAGCACTACTATTGTAAGCCTAGCGAACTTCGCTGTGCATGTACTCTCTAATAGGAAAATTAGACTCAGGAAATATGAAGAATAATACAAAGTGAAGAAGAAAATGACAATTCACAATTTCAAAATGAAGTGAGGGACATGGAATATAAAGACTTCTAAGTAACTCTTCAAAAAGGTTGTGATCCTTCAAAAGGACACACCCTTTCATTTCAAGAGACACAACTATTGAAGTAAATTAAATTCAAATTTTCCAACAATCCCCCACATGAATGAAATTTACGGAAAGGACATGCAACAACATGCAGACAAAGAGAGAGTACATTATGGAAATATCCTGCATCGGGATAGGTAGCTTTCGGCTTTGAACCTTCCCTAGTGAAAGCCTATCGGACTTACTAGCTAATCAGTGGACGTGATGCCTTGAACTGTTCAGCCGTTTGTGTAAGCCAAGACAATAGAATTCACACAGAATATCTTCAAACACAGCTTAGTTCTCACGGTTGTGCCCGTTTTGGCCTTGGGCAAGTCCTGGTGTTTCTTGAGTGCTTTAGAGAATTTAGCCTTATCAATTCTCATAGAAGCGGCCCCTTCACACTCATATAGGTGATCCTTATTTCGAGTCTCTTAAATACTCCTCTTGAAAGATACCCCTCTAGGATTTCCAAGATATAAGTAATCATTAAAAGCATAGCTTACCCTAAGTTCCCTGCATTCAACACATGTTGCAGATATCACTCTCATCAGAGGAATGGATAGGAGTTAGACTTCCTTTAGTGATTTCTGGCGAGCCACACATAACTTAGTTGTCCCTTTGAACTTAGTTCTTGGGATCTCCAGTCATCTAAGTAGGGTTACCATTATGATGACTCTGATATAATAGGCTTTAATCACATTCCCCTCGATAAACTCATTTGCTCTTTGGTCAAACTTTTTGTAAGTTCTACATTTCCACTTCGTCAGCCTGTTGGCAACGTGGTATGTGTACTGATATACAAAGGGAGAATTACAAATCAGTAGAAATTAGAGAAATTATTTACGGAAAAATGATAAACATTATAAATATTAATAATTATAATTATAATTTTTTTTTATTTTTTTATAAAAAATTTTTGCACTGCACTGATCTCTAATTTCTCCATATACAAATAAAAAGTACACTATTAAAATTTATCATTTTAAAATAAAATATCAATATCATATCATTCTAGAAATTTTTTTTATATGATTATAACTTATTTATTTAATTGGGGTTAACAAATTGGCAATAGACAAGTGACAAAAGTTTGACCCTTGATGCATCGGTTTTTGTTTCATGTTACCGGCTAGATGATATTCAACTTGAAACCTTGGGCCTTTTCCCAAACTAATGTAAAATAGCAATTTATTTTTTAAATTAGGCTTAGTTTGGACGTATTTCTCAAACTAAACTAAAACGTGATTGTAAATCACGCTTTTACCGTCGCTACAGCTCTCGCGCAGAAATTTTATAAAATTATAAAAGCGTGCTTACGAACTACACTTTTAATTAAAAAAGCGTGGTTACGAACCACGCTTTTTAGAAAATTTAATTTATATAGAAAGCGTTCTTCCCAACCACGCTTTTTAAATTTTTTTTTTTGAAGAAAACGTTGTTCCAAACCACGAGTTTACTGTTCACTATATAAAGTGTGGATGATAACCACGCTTTTAACGAAAATTGAATTTTAAATGAAAGCGTGGTTCGTAACCACGCTTTTAGAAATTATATAAAATACTCTGCCCCCTCATTTGCAACCACACTTTTTACACTTAGCTTTTTATCCGATCTGCTCTGTCGCTCTCACTGCTCTCGCTGTTGCTCTGCTCTCTCTCGCTCTCTCTGGTCTCACACTCTCTCTCTGCTCTTACTCTCTCTCTCTCCGTCCATGGGTTATCTGCTCTCTCTCTCTCGCACTCTCTGCTCTCTCTCTCTCTCTGGTATGCCTATCTGTCTCTCTCTCAGTTTGAATTTTATATGTGTTTATTGTGTTTGTGAAAATGTGAATGTGGATAGAATAAGGTTAGTTAATGTGAAAATGGTTGTGAATTGATAAAAATGTTGGAAGAATAGAGTTTGTGAACGTGAAAATGGTTGTGAATTGATGAAAATGTTGGTAGAATAGGGTTTGGGAATGTGAAAATTTTGTAAATTGAAATTGATGGCAATGTGGGTAGAATAGGTTTTATGAATTGAAATTGTGGTTTTGAATTAGTAAAATTTTGTGGCTTTGAATTGTGAAAATGTTTTAGGGTTTTCAATTGAATGTGAAATCAGAAATTAGGGTTAGGGTTTTGAATTGTGAAATCAAAACTTATTGTTAAAATTGTTAAAATTGTGAAACTAGGATTAGGGTTGAGATGTTCTAAATATAGTTTAGTTAAGAGAAGGTAAGGCAAAATATCTACCGTATTGCTTATCTTGGACTTTGATAATGTCCATTAAAATTGGGTAAAATATGTAAAAATAATCTAAATACCTGTGTTTGGTTTGAGTATCTTTTATAAAAATTGAGTTTTTATTTTTATTTTTCATATATATATATATATATATATATATTATTTTGAATGAAGTTTTTTAATATTTTAAATAATTGTTTTTAATTTTTAGATATACCTTATATAAATACACTTAAAAAAAATAATATTTATGAAAAAATTCACTAAATATTAAAAATACAAAAATTCATTACATTTTTATATTTTTGTATATTTATTGATTTTTTAAAATATTTTCTTACAAATAATTTACTTTTTACGTATAAATAGATTAATTACATTTATTTTTACCTATAAATAGATTAATTGCATCTAAAAAGTAAAAATCTTAATTAAAATATTTTAAAGGGCAAATTACAAACACCCCCCTCGAGGTTTGGTGAAAATACAGATTCCCCCCTGAGGTTTGAGAAATTACATCCCGCCCCCTGAGATTTATATTTCCATAATAAATTGCCTCCTGAGGTTTTTATTTTCATACAAATTCTCTCCTAATTTATCCTAATTTGTTATGAAAATTTGACCCTCAAGGGGCAATTTGTAATTTCTCAAATCTCAGGGGGGAATCCGTATTTTTATCAAACCTCGAGGGAGTGTTTGTAATTTGCCCTATTTTTTAAAAAATTACTAAAAAGTAAAAAATTCAATTTTCATAAAAAATTGAGTTCAATACAAGATGTTTGAAGAAACTACCAGAGCAATTGCTCGTAATTGACTTGAGCATTGAAAAAAAATTGGGGCCTATTGGTGTAACATCGACGCAAAATTATAAGAAATGCTACATTTACTATTTCTTATGCCGTTCAGTATATCATCTCATGTTAACAAAAAAAGAAATTAAAAAAAATAAAAAATTGAGCTCTGTGAATAGAAAGCCATATGGGACAATTGGTGCCTATTGGTGTAACATTGCATATCACCTCATGTCCAAAAAAAAAAAAAAAAAAAAAAAAAGCGTCGAGAATAGAAAGACCATGTGGGACCATTGGTGCCTATTGGTGTAACATTAATATATTAGGAAAATTTTGTGATACACACGTTTTATTATACAGCTTTAGTTATTATTATCACTATTTTTTAAATTTAATTATCATTTTTTTTAATTATGACATTATTTTACATGTTTGGTTATGACTCATGTAATGTTTGTCTGACGAACTAGAACTTTAACATGCCAACTCGAATTTTAATTTTATTAATTTAAGCTTGTATAGTAAACTTTAGTTGATCCACATACACACTCAAAATTTATGAATGGCAAAGATTGCATTTTTTAAAAAATTCTCTGTTTATGGAGAGTTTAATTTTGTACTCAACTGAAAACTTTTTACTTGAATGTGCTTCTTTGTATGTTTTATATGTTTTGTTGGGAAACAATTTCTTCAAAGACAACAAAAATAAATATGTAACATGAGATGTATCTTTCCAAATCTTATTGAAGATAATTGATGATTATTCCCAAGTTTCCATGTGAAGCGAAAT